TCACTTTAACATAATTTATTATCTCATCATTTGTTATTAGACATTGTGGGTTATTAAGTTTGTTCTTGTATTCATTTTTCATTTAAACACAGGTGTTACTCCAGTTTCACATTTCCTGTGGACATCTTGATCTTGTTGATTTTGTAAGATTGTGCAATAGTTAAGTAAACAAAGTTGATGCTGATAATCAAACAGTTTGTTCTCCTTTTTCCCCCAAAATGGAATCGAAAAAAGAATCGATAAAGAATCGAATCGTTTCATAGAATCGAAAAGGGAATCGGAATCGTGAAAATCTTTTCAATTCCCAACCCTAGTCGGCAGCGTCAAAGACTGGGGCCTCCGCACATGTGTTGTGCGCACTAACCACTGTGATGCCCTGAATTGCCTATTTTAACATTTTTTTCATATGTAAAGCACACCACACTATAAGGTGCATAGAATACAATCTACAGTAGTGGCTGGGGTTGAGGTCTGAATCCACTAGATAAAGCTGCACTAAAGAGAATGTCAATACAACAGTCAGATAAGTTAGTCAAACTTTATTGATATATTACGGTATAAACAATATGACCAACCTTCTTCAAATTTAAACCCACAAAAGAAACGTGTCTGTCAAACAGGTTGGAAATGACCTAAGATCAGTTAGAATGTTTAATCCCGGCTCTTTGGTCCTCACTCATGTTCCTCCTCATTGTTTCCACATTACCAGGTCTTCCTGGAGCCGGGCGGCTCCGACACTCGTCCTGCGTCTACCTCTGAGCTGTACGACATCTCTTTGGTCCGGACGAACCTCCTGCAGGCCATTTCAGACCACAGCTACTTCACTGGGCGGGTCCACATCTGTCTGGAGAACTATGAGAGGAATCTCCAGAACGGCTTCACCGACTAGGAGCCAGGCTCCTCCAGTTTCTGTGACTCTGTGAGCGGGTGGGGGCTCTATGGGGGTCATCGCCCATGTAGGTGCCGTGTAAAACCACCAGGAGTTTCCATGAGCTTTCAGTGGATTTTGTGTTGCACTGATGATTATTTATTAAATAGTCAATTTAGGATGAGCTAAACCTGTCAGGGGTACCGACAGTTTGGGGCTAGCTTCACAGCCAAGGAGATGATGTAACTTTCATCCTGAATGTGAGCTTTGATTAGAAAACGACGACATAAGATGTGACAAGCATTTCCAGATCTTCATCCGATTGCAGGGAAGTACCAGAGAAACCTGATCGGTCTGTTGCTGATGTGATCAGCTCACTGCAGGTTCTAACATCTTATGAGACCTGAACACATCTCCATCATGTAAAGTCCCTCAGGTTCCCCACAGCAGCATCAGAGCTCAGCAGGCAGACGGGTCCAGCGGTGGTGAACACCAGCCCAAAGCAGACAGAACTTTCTTACTGGGCTTGGTTCTCCACCTCTGGGCCGTATTTACCAAACTTCTCAGATTGCTTTTTTAACCATTACTCCTTAGACTCCCAGTCTTAAGATTAAAAGCTATTTATCAACTTTCTGATGTCTAAGAACCACCCCTACTCCTGCAGATATTTCAGACCTCCAGAGGTGTCTGTAGGGGGTAGAAGCGGCCACTAGAGGGTGGTATTGGACGTTCAGGGAGCTGAAGACGTTTTAGCATCCCAGTTCTTCCCTGAATAACATCTGATAACATCCCTTAGGATAAAAATAACTGCTGGCCACTAGATTATGCTGTGGCCTTGCATTAATAGTCGACATAAGATGAAGCAAGTTGTGTTTTAAAAATGCATGAAAAAGGCATAAAGACAGGTGGCTATTTGGTGCTAATTCATGGACTCACAGCATGTCCAAACAGCCCCGATATGGACGATTCAACAGTTCATGCTGGGATATGGGGCTCATAATTAAGAGGATCGACGTGTCCGTTCCCCCCCGCTGTGCAAATCTTGAAATGTATTTTCTGTGCATTTTGGTGCCGTGAATCAACACGTCTGAAAGAACCTTCTCATAACAGAATAAGAAAGTTTTAATTTGCCAGATTTTATGGCAATATTTTGGTTACATAATAGACCTTTTTCACACTTCCGGGTTTTAAAGCGGATGTGGGGTTTGACAACTTCCGGTGGCTATAGCGTTAGCATAAAAGTCTAAGAAAATGGCTCAGTCTC